CTGGGTTTTCAGCTATTGCTATGGCTGATTTGCTATCACAGTACAGCATGGCTGGGGAATCAATGCTGATCTCTAGGTCTTGTAGCAGATAGACTAGCCATTGGATTTCACATGCTGCAGAGGCAAGAGCTCTTTACTCTGCCTCAGATGAGCTTCTGGATATTGTATGCTGTTTCTTTAACTTCCAAGACACCAAGGTATTATCAAGAAACGTGAAGAAGCCAGTTACAGACCTTCTAGTATCTGGGCATGCAGCCCAGTCAGAATCTGAGAAGCCTTTGATCAATAGAGCTGATGATGCTGAGAGGAATAGACCTTGGCCAGGGGATGCTTTGACATATCTCAGTACCCTGTGTGCAGCCTGTAAGTGTTCATCAGTAGGACAATCTAGGAATTGAGATAATTGTTATGTAGCATAGCATATATCTGGCCTTGTGATTGTTAGATACAACAATTTCCCTACCAGCCTTCTGTATTGAGTAATATTCTGAAGTGTGTTGCCAGTGGTTCTGCTGAGTCTGGATGATGTTGCCATAGGAGTTTTGGCTGGTTTACATTCCAAGAAGCCAGCTTCTTCAAGTAATTCCAGGGTGTACTTTCTTTGAGTTAAACTGATCCCTTTTGTTGGTCCCAATAGGGTGGTGAAAGTCTAGAGGGGGGGGGGTGAATAGACTTTCAAGCTTTTTCAAAATAAATAACTCTTTGGTAACTTCAACTCTAAGTAACAAGTAAATAGAGTAAGTTTAAACTGCACAGCGGAATAATAGAGTGTAAAGAGTTATGCCCAATCAATAATTTAAATGCGCATGTAAGATAGGTACAGATGATATGTAAAGTGACAGAGATATCTTGAATATTTAAAGGAGATGGTGCACTCAATATATAATAATAATATTCAAGATTGTAAATAAATATCGTATCACGTCGACCGTGTAACGAATGTTACATGCAACACGTCAAACTTGCTTAGAATAATTCAATATTTAAGCTCGTGAAGTTTGAGTCACATGCACACGTGAAAACACACTAAACCCGAAAGATTAAGATTAACTGTGAATAGTAAACGGGTTAGTCGGATAAGATAGATAGATAGAGCAAATTATGTAAGTGCAGTATGTAAATGAGAGAGACAATTTATAGTGGTTCGGAAGTGGCATAATCTTCCTAGTCCACTTTTCTCCTTTCGCGTCTAGGAGAAATTCACTATTTTCCACACACAGTTACAATAGTGAATAAGCGCTACACAAGCACTTCTTCCGGATGTTTTGCACACAGCTACACCCAACTCCGAGTGTCTCGCACACAGCTACACTCAACTCCGAGTATTTCGCACACAGCTATACTCAACGCCAACTAAGTGTCTTGCACACAGCTACACTTAGCAACTACGAGTGTTTTGCACACAGCTACACTCACTAGAGTATTTTACACACAGCTATACTCTTTTTACAATTACAAATACAAAGGTAATTGTATCTCTCTCCAACTAGATTTGAGACTATTCAGACTAAGTCTCTAAGAATATTTGAGCACTTGCACTTTTCGAATTTTGCACTTTGTTTATCCGTGTGTATTGCACCTCTATCTCTGCTTGTCTTCAAGTCTTCATGGCTTTTTATAGGCAATCAAATATATCCGTTGGAGTGGGATAATTTGATATTTGAAATTTGAATCTTCATAGCCTGATATTGTTGACAATAGTAGGTCTTCAATTTTGATTTGATTGTCAACTTGCCTGACAAAATAATATCTTATCTCCAATTGATTTTCTAGTTGTTCAAAATATTATTTTGTTGTCATATTGAATATCCAACGTATCTTTGAAATAAATTCAACTGATAGAATTTATTTCTAGGATAAGTTTTTATATTCATTTCTTCATAAGTATTTTTCCGTTCTGATCAAATGTCTTTTAGGCAATTTTGGATTCTTGTGGCATGTGGGTAGACTTAGAATAAATTCATTCGAATTTATAACAATTTCTGATCATCTTGCTTCTTTGCCACATTGTGCTCCTTTGACTTGAACATCGTGCTCCTTGACTTGAACATTGAGCTTCTTTTGAACATTGTGCTTCTTAGCACACATTGTGCTTGGTGCTCTTTTTGGTAGCATTGTGCTCCTTGGCAGCATTGTGCTCCTTGGCAGCATTGTGCTCTTTTTGGTAGCATTGTGCTCCTTGACAGCATTGTGCTCTTTTTGGTAGCATTGTGCTCCTTGACAGCATTGTGCTTGTCCGAAAACTTGACTTGTAAAAATAAATCCTGGGGGGGGGGGGGGGGGAATCAATCTCGGGTGTGATCGTTTTGAGTAAAGACTTCTACCATTTCGCCATTAGGCTCATCCGATCATTCTTTGCAACGCCATTCCTTTATGCTTCTTTCTCGGATGAATACTTGTAGGACCAAAATTAATTTCTCAAATTAATTTTGTTCTTCCTATGGTAGATTCCTTTTGACTCGATATTCTGATTTATGATGCCTGTACCAAAGGACCTAAAAACTAAGGGGATCTAAAGTACATTTGGCTCATCAAAACTTACAAAAATATTCCTATCACCTTTGCTGTTTCTGGCCACTTCCAGTCCTAGGAAGAATTTTAGGGGACCTAAGTCCTTGATGTGAAATGCATCATCCAGATGTTTCTTGACTGCTTGTACTTGGTTTATGCAAGGGCTGGCAATAACCATATCATCAACATATACAAGTAAGGCTATAAAGTCATTACCTTTGCCTTTTGTGAATAGAGAGGAATCAGATATAGCTTGTTTAAATCCCATGCTCAGAAGTTCTTGGGTTAGCTTCACATTCCATTGCCTACTAGCTTGTTTTAGTCCATAAAGGGACTTGACTAGCTTGCACACTTGACCTGATTTTGCTGATGAGAAACCAGGGGGCAATGTCATGTAGACTTCTTCATTTAAGTCTCCATGTAAAAAGGCATTGTTTACATCTAGTTGGTGAAGGATCCATCCTTTGATTGCAGCCACAGCAAGTAGGACTCTGATTGTTGTTGTTTTTGCCACAGGGCTGAAAGTATCTAGGTAGTCTAAGCCAGGTGTCTTAGTGTATCCTTTTGCCACAAGCCTGGCCTTGTGTCTTTCAATAGTACCATCAGCTTTTAGTTTAGTCTTGAATACCCACTTGCATCCTATAGGCACCTTGGAGGGAGGGAGGTCAGTGAGAATCCAAGTATTGTTGGCCTGTAATGCATTTATCTCTGACTGCATGGCTTCTTTCCAGCATTCACTCTTGATTGCTTCATTGTAGGTCTTTGGCTCCCTGGCATTTAGAGCATTCACAGCAAAGACCCTATAGGCTTGTGAGAGATTATCATATGACAGGAACTTTGAAATGGAATGTGGAGAAGTTCTGTTTATGATGCTCTGACAAGCATAATCACCAAGGTAAGCAGGCCTGGTCCTTGCCCTTGCTAATCTTCTTGGCTCTGGTGGTGGATCTGTATTGTCTTGACCAACATGAGGGACCTCAAATGTGTCTTGTGAAGCAACTGGGACTTCAATGGGAGGTAAGACAGTGTCTTCATCATAGTTCAAGTCTGATATATCATCTGAGGGTAGAACCAAGTTGGAAGGCTGCTTATTTTGCTGACTTTGAAAAGGAAAGATGCTCTCATAGAAGGAGACATCTCTGGATAGAAACACTTCTCTAGTGTTGAAATCAAGCAACTTGTACCCTTTTACACCATTAGCAAATCCCAGAAAAATGCACCTCCTGGCCCTTGGGGAGAATTTGTTTCTTTGACAGCTGGGAATGCTAGCAAAAGTTAGGCAACCAAACACCCTAAGGTGCTGATACTGTGGGACTTTATTAAAGAGGATCTGATATGGGATTTTATTATCTAGAGCTGATGATGGAAGTCTATTTATTAAATACACTGCATGCAAGATACAATCACCCCAAAACTCTTCAGGAAGACCAGCTTGGAATCGGAGTGCCCTTGCCACAGATAGGATATGCCCATGCTTTCTTTCCACAATGCTGTTTTGCTGAGGGGTATAAACACAAGATGTTTGATGAATTATTCCCTTCTTATGGTAGTAGTCTTCCATGAGAAATTCCTTTCCATTATCAGTTCTGACACATTTGATTCCTTTTCCAAACTGTTTGTTGATCAGCTCATAGAAGTTCTGAAAAATCTGTCTTACTTCACTTTTGCTTCTCATTAGATAGGTCCAAGTGGATCTGCTGTGATCATCCACTATAGTTAAAAAATATTTATGCCCATAAATGGTTGGGACATGGAAAGGACCCCATATATCCATGTGAATAAGATCAAAGCAGTAAATTGCAACAGATGTACTAGATTGAAAAGGCAACCTTTTCTGTTTGGCCATATGGCAACATTCACAAGCTACAGGTTTGTCATTACAGATTTTGTTATCTAAAGCATGAAGAGCTTTTATTTTTCCTTCAGACACATGTCCTAATCTAGCATGCCAGAAACTACAAGTATTGACAGCTGGAAAAACAATAGACTTTTTTTGAGCAGAAACAGGAAGGGTGAGGTGATAGAGTCCCTTCTTCAGCTTAGCCACACCAATCATCTTCCCATGGTGTTGATCCTGTATTGTACATTGGTCAGATTTAAAGATAATGCTGTACTATGATCCTCTCACAAGTTCCCCCAAAGATACAAGGTTATAGTGAAATATGGGAACACAAAGGACATTTTTCAAGATTAAATCAGCAGATAAATGGACAATCCCAGTATGTGATACTTCTGCATAATATACATTTGGCAGATCCACATGAATTCCTTGAACCCTTTTAGATGTATGGAGTAAATGTACACTACATACTATATGGTGTGTAACCCCACTATCAAGAATCCATTCTGATTTAGAGTTATCAGTGTTACCTTCAAATTGATCATTGGGGATAAAGTTGGCTGCTATGGTGTTGACCTGAGGACTAGGATCAAGAGGGGTGTTGCCCTTGGTTTTCCCTTGTTGCATAAACTCAAAAAATCTTCTGCAATCATCTTGAGTAAAGAGGGGTTTGGCTTCTGTACAGTTGCATTCTTGCACAGAAGCTTGAACTTGATTTGTTGAACCCATTCCTTTGCTTCTTGGTTTCCAACCTAGGGGGTATCCATGCTTCTTATAGCATTTCTCAATTGTATGCCCTGTATATCCACAGTAGCTGCATATAATCTTCTGCTTCTGGTTAGGGAAAGGTCTCCTTCCATTGTTGTCTGCTTTTGTAAAGAAAGCATTTACTCTTGTTATGCTGTCCTCTAGATTGGCAGTTTCAATATTCACTTGTCTCTCTTGTTGTGAAACCATGGAGAAGGCCTCACCAACATCAGGAAGAGGTTTCATTAGCATGATTTGCCTCTTAATGCTTGTGTAATTGTCATTTAAGCCAATGAGAAAAGCAGACAACATATCATTTTCCAAATGTGCCTTTACTTTATCAGACAGACTATTTCCACAGGCACAATTTGGAGAGCACTCACAACTAGGAATAGGTCTTAGAACAAGCAACTCATCCCACAATAATTTCAATTGTGTAAAGTACTCATTCACAGTAGAGTTACCTTGCTTAGTGTGGTGAATCTGTGACTGGATTTCTGCAATTCTAAACACATCTTGCTGACTGAATCTCTTCTTCAAGTCCTTCCATACTCCTTCAGCTGTGTTGATCCAAAGCACACTACTAGCTATGGTGGGAGATACAACCCTCAAAATCCAGGACAACAACATAGTATTACATCTCTCCCAGTAATAGAATTTTGGATCAAGTCTGTTTGGAGCAGCCACAAGACCATTCACAAAGGTCATCTTATTCTTGGATCTTAATGCCATTTCCATGGCTCTTGCCCAAGAATGATAGTTTGATCTTCCCTCCAACTGAGCTGTCACCAACTGTAGGGTAGGACTCTCATTCGCATGAAGATAGAGAGGATTTGTCTGATCATTGGGATCAAAGTTCCCATTCGAAGTTGAAGCAAAATTAGGGTTCTGATTTGATGCTGGGGTTGGAATCGGAGCTGGGATTGAAGCTCCTTGCTGAACCATATTTACACTAGGTGGACGCCACGCCATTTATGGCTCTGATACCATGTGAAGAAACCAATGGAGGCAGTAGAAAACAAGAAGGACAAGATCAAAAAAAAATGAAGAAGAAGTTACTGTTCCATTGAATTCAGAGGGTCTCAGCAAAGCTCTCTGTTAGGAACCTTGTATTAGGATTTTGATGATACCAATGTAATGTAGAAAGTAGACCCCTAACTCTTGCGTTTTGTATTGTATCGCTACTTTCGTTCTAGACGAAAGTTGCCATAACTCATATGTAATTCGTGTTAAGCTAGAACAAACACACGAAAAGAGTTATGAATAGAACATAGGCTGATCAAGGCGAAAGAAGACTCCACAGCAACGAAAGAAGGAGTTGTCATTAAAAAGACAGTTCTTTTCAAGACTATCTCAACAAGTATTCTTCTTCTCATCAACAAGAAGAATGCTCTACCTGTCTGATTTGACAACATCCTAGGACAATAAGGACCTCAACTCATGGGACACGCTATCCAAAGAGCAATTAATGAAGTTGTACTATCTCTGGAGCTAAAAGACAAAAGTCATCAGATCCTCCATACCTTCAACGGCTACATAGTACAAACCCATTAATGGAGCATTAAATGCATGAGGCTCCATGGTCCTTGTCCAACAGATAAAAGGTTTGAAAAATTCATCTCCCTCCAACGGATGAATTTTTATCACCTATATAAACCAACCTTCATCAACTAAGAAGGTGCTGGTTCATTTTATCACTCTACTCACTCTCTTGCAAAAAGCTCTTGAAAAGTGAACAAATCTCAAAGCTCTTTGCGAACCAGCTATTTAAGGTGTTAAGGCATTTGAAGTAGATCAATCATCACTGCCCTACATCTTGTAAGAAGTCTTGCACTCTTGAAGCAATCATCCACACCAACAAGACTTCACAGTTGGAGGAATCAAGAAATACTTTCTTACCAACCTCAACTTAGAAGAAGAAGTTGATAGAGGCGGAGTAAACTCTCGGAGTTGAAAAACCTTCAAAGGCTGTCCGGCTTAGTGATCAAGGAAGTCTTTGTGTAATTGTACTAAAGAGTGATAGTGCAATCCTTCCAGCAGTTGTGGAAGAAGAGTGGAAGTAGGCAAAGTTTGGCCGAACCACTATAAAATCTCGTCTCGCTCTTCTCTTTACTTACTGCTTTATTTTACTGCTTGCATATCATCTCTTTCATCACTCATCTTATCCTTTTATCAAACTCGTGCAACCCTCTCTTAATAACCTTTCCGCTGTGCTTATCTTACTCAAAAGTGTTGTCAGGGTTTTTCTTTTAAAGAATCTAAAGAAAAACGAGAGTCTATTCACCCCCCCCCCCCTCTAGACTCACCACTCAATCTATCGGGACCAACAAGTGGTATCAGAGCAGAATACCTTGAACGGTGAAGGCTTTTTGCATTTTACTGCCTGGTAGATCCACCTTTGATCTTTTTTTTGGATCTTCTTCGTTGCACGATTTTTTTTTAAATGGAAAAAGAACATGCACAAAATCGCTCTAGACAGCTTGCTTTTAGTCTTGCCAAGTTTGATGACTGGAAATTAAGAATGCTGGCTCTTCTGTGCTCTATTCATGATGAAATGTGGGACGTCATAACTACTGGACCTATCACAGTGATGATGGCAAATGCACAGGCTGCTGCTCAAGGACCAGATGCTCCTCAAATAATACCTAAGCCGAAAGAGCAGTATAACTCGGAAGAAAGAACAAGAGCAAACCTGGACAATGTGGCAAGGAACATTCTTTACAACTCTCTAGATGATTCACTCTTCCCCAGAGTCAGAAAATGTAAAAATGCTATGGAAGTATGGAAAGTTCTAATGGACCTGGGAGAAGGAGATGAACAAGAAAAGGATAACAAACTGACAATAGCCATGAAGAAGTTCGAAGACTTTAAGATGCAACCAAACGAGACGATCATGGAGATGGAGCTAAGATTCACAAGACTAATGGGAGACTTATCAGACCTTGGAAAAGAACTCACCGAAAAGGAGATGAATCTAAAAATTCTTCGTGGATTGCCGAAGTCATGGGAGATGAAGGTCATCGCGATGAGAGATAATCGTGACATGAAAACAACACCCACAGCCAAAATCTTCAATGATCTCAAAGCATATGAGTTTGAACATGAACCGAAAGATGCTGAGGAACCAGAAACGAGAAATATTTCCCTCGTAGCAAATCAGGCGGCGTCAACCCCTAACAGGTCGAAATCTAACTCTTGTGATTTTTTAACTGATGAACAATATGCCCTATTTGTCAGGAAGATGAAAAGATTCATGAGAAAGAACAACTTTCAAGATCCACAATGGTCAAGCCACCGAAAGAGGCATGAAAGTTTCCCTCAGGCTTCAAAGACCGAAACCACTGATTCACAGCTGTTGTGCTACAACTGCCGAAAGCTAGGACACTTCAAAGCGAACTGCCCTTATCCAATGGTTAGCAAATATCAAGATGGCAACAATATCACAAGCTCCTCAAGGGAATCTGGAGAAAAGCACAAGAAAAGTGATAAACCAGAATCATCAAACTCCAAGAGTGAGGGAAGAAGAAAAGCAATGGTGGTTGCCGAAAACACTGAAAAAGCTATACCCGAAAGTAGTACCTCAAGCTCAAGCTCAGAAGACGAAAGCAGCGATGAGGAGAAAGGACTACTATGCCTCTACAGCCAAGAATCAGAGGAACTATGCCTCATGGCAGATGAAGAAGAGGTAAACTCTCACTCTTCTTCTTGCTATTCAGCCGAATCAAGTTCTTTAGTGAGTCAAACCTCCAGTGAATCTGTCACTGAAATGATGAGGAGGTTTAAGTTGATAAATAGCACTTACTCCAAGCTGAAAGAGGAGAACTCTCGGCTCATGACTAGCCATAATGAATTAGAGCAAGTTCGAATTGAGAACAAAATGCTGATCATTGCTAAGGAGCAGCTCGAGAAAAATGTTCTCGCTCTTAAGGAGCAGTGCACAGCAAAAGAAAAGAGAGAGCAAGAATTGCTTGAAGTGTTGGACAAGTTTAACAAGTCATCCAACTTAATGGACAGAATGTTAAACGAATCCAGACTGCCCGGAGAGAAAAGCGGAATTGGCTTTAACTCCAGCTCCTCTTCACAAGTCGAAACGAACAATGCATACTCACATGAGAGTCTTGCAACCATATTTGTTCAAGGACCAACCCAGCTGCCCGAGCCTATGATGGTACATAACAATGTCACAGCACCACAATCAACAAGCCAACCGAAAGGAAAGGCTGTACAACGAATTGTGGAAACAGGAAAGAGAAAACCTAGTAAAGGCAATACTAGACAAATATGTGTCAAAAGGAATGGACCAAATGGCAGTGGAAAAAGTCCACACCAAAAATTGAGTCAGCCTAACTGGAATTCTCGATCCTATAAAAAGACAAATGTTAACCAGAGGCAATATCGTCTAAAGAGTTCTGCTCAGGAATTCTCAAAGAACGAACAACCTGAAAGGATCCTCAGAAGATCTGGGTATGGGAATGGAAGGACTGGGCCTTCAGAAGAAGATTGGTTTGTTTACCCGGAACTCCTCTCGAGGAAAGCTCTTAAGATAACACATCGACGTAAACAAACCAATTATCGTTGGCATTATGAAAATCCTCCACCAAAAGAGCAACAAAGGAAGTATAAGGACAAAATCTTTGCCAGTGTTTATTTCGATTATCGCACCTCCAACGGATACAGAGGACCAAGGATGAGTCATGTGCACTCTAGGTTAATATGGGTTCCAAAATTAACTACTAACCCCCAAGGACCCGAAACTAAGTGGGTACCTAAAAATACATAATCTTTGATGCAGGAGAAACAGGTCATATGGTATGTAGACAGTGGATGCTCAAGACATATGACTGGTGACAAAACAATTTTGAGCAACTTCAAAGAAATAAATGGACCCAAAGTCATCTTTGGAGGAGAAACAAGTGGCCAAACTCGAGGAAAAGGAGATATCATCAAGAAAGGAATAATCATACAAGATGTCTCTTATGTAGAAGGACTTAAATTCAACCTTCTAAGCACAAGTCAGTTCTGCGACAAAGGATACAAAGTAGAATTCCTTAAAGAAGAGTGCAAAATCATAAACACGAAGGATGGCAGGACAGCACTTACAGGCCAACGAAAGAAGAACATGTATGTAATTTCATTAAATTCTTCTAATACTAACATTTGTCTTGTAGCCAAGAGCAATGCAGATCTCAATCAAGAATGGCACAACAAGCTAAGCCACTTGAACATGAAGACAATAAGTAAGCTTGCAAAAAGGAATCTTGTAAGAGGCTTACCCGAAACATCTTACACGAAAGATAGGTTATGTGATGCCTGCCAAAAGGGAAAACAGCTGAAGTCGTCCTTCAAGTCAAAAGACGTAGACACAAATTCTCGATCTCTAAGCCTTCTGCACATGGATCTTTTTGGACCAATAGATCCAGCAAGTATAAGCGGAAGAAAGTACACCCTTGTGGTAGTAGATGACTTTTCAAGATATACATGGGTTCTTTTCTTGAAAAAGAAGAATGAAACAGAAACGGCTCTGCCAAATCTTTTGAAGCAACTTCAAACAGAGAAGGAAGTCAAAATAACAAGAATCAGAACGGATCAAGGAACCGAATTTGTCAACAAAGTGATAAAGGATTTCTGTGCTCAAAATGGAATATTTCATCAACTCTCAGCAGCACGAACTCCTCAGCAAAACGGAGTAGCCGAAAGGAGAAATAGAACTCTAAAAGAAGCAGCACGAACAATGATATCACACTCAGGTCTACCAAAGAGATTTTGGGCTGAAGCCATAAACACCGCATGCTATACACAGAACAGATCCTTAATCAACAAGTCTCACAACAAAACACCATATGAGCTATGGAAAGGTAAGACTCCAAATATTGGATATTTTCATGTTTTTGGTTGCAGGTGTTTTATTCACAACAATGGCAAAAGCTATCTTAAAGCATTTGACGAAAGAGCTGACGAAGGATTATTCATGG